ATAAAATATAATGAACCAAAATACCTATTGAAACTTTCAAGGGTATTTTGGTCATTTTATATTATTGAGAATATTTTTTTATATTTTTTGCTATTGCTAGTTTAATAGAGGATTGGACATACCAAATTTTGTGTTAAAATAGTTTGTAGAAAAAAAATTAAAAATAAAAAAGTGTAGAGACCTGACATTGTGATTGGGGCAATCTTAAGCCCCCATCCAGAATGGACGGTTGGTTGGATACAGGGCAATATATAAGTTTTATGTTGTAGAAAAAGCATAGAAATCTTGCCTTTATGCAAAAACCTGTAAAAGGTAGAAAACTGATTTAGAAATGAGATTTCAAGATAATAATTGATAAGAATCAAGTTAAATTGAGAAAATCAAAATTATGAAAATGTAGCCACCCATGAGAAAAACCTACTGAATCAGAGCCAAAAGCCCTCAATCGCAGCTTTGTTTAATTGATTTGACTGATCAAAACCGACCGATCTAACAAACTAAAATTGGTCAAACATTAATTTTGTCTAGTTTTCATCCAAACCCAAATTTTACTTTAGACAAACCGGCCAAGGCACGTATTCGCAATGTGATAGCTCAAACTTAGTTTGTCCGGTCTCGGTCTATATGTTGTAGGGTTGATATTGCATCCACAGGCCGTGGTCACTTAAAAGGTGCCGAAGCATATTGTAATGGTTCAGATTGAATTTTATTTTTTGTTTTTAATAATATCAATATCAAATTTGGTCCTTAGCTTCATTTTTATAAGTAATTTATAAGAATAAAAAAAAAAATCAATAAAACATTGGTCAAAACAATTTTAGGATATTTTAGTTATTTAAAATATTTCTCAATTATTTGTATCTAGTTATATTTATAAAAAGAAAAAAGTTTTTATAAGGATGCTACCTTATAACGTAGAACTATGGATGCCCCTCAAAAATCGATCGAAATAGGTAGTTTTAATGTTGAAAAACCTTTTGATTGATCATCTGGACATCGAGATGTATGACTTTGAAAAATAAAAAGATTTTAAGTTTTAGAAATAGTGCATTTTACAACATATTATCTACACCGTCTATTTTCAAGATTTTCATATGTTTATAGATCTACTTTATTATAATTATTTTTTAATTTTAAAATTTTATAATTAGATACAAAAATAGATTTTGAGATAATCCTAAAAACATTTTATATCAAAATTATATATCACGATAAAATTTGAAGGTGCACCTTACCTCTACACCTACTTATACATCCGAATGCAAACTGCACCCTTATAAAAATACACCTACATTAAAGAACTCAAATAAATATTTTATTTAAATAAAAAATATATGAAACTAATTATTGGCCATTTGAAATCTCCGGGTCCACATGATGTGGACGGCATACCTTTCCTATATTATATTATGGCCTCAAACACTAGTACTTGCTGATACTGTGATGCGTCCTCGTAAAATACGAATGTTCGGAATCGGATATTCACACGGTTCGCATATTGTAGAAATGCGAGTTTGGCAATAAAAATATCTTTTAAATATAATTCAATCTTAATTTTTAGAGGATATATAACTTTTAATATAGAGATCATAATATAAAAATAATAATAATTATTATTATTATTATATTAAAAAAACATTTGAATAGTTAATTATACTTGTACCAATTTGCTTCCATCTTTAAAATGGATGCTTTATACCTCTCAATCTGGCCACATGAAACAATTTTCCAAAACCAATTAGCATTACGGGGTCAGCCCACTTTTTTTCCTAAAAACATAAAGAATGGATATAAACCCTAGTGCTATTTTTTTTAGGGGTTGCACAATAAATAAGTAGGTGGTGAAATCAACGATCTATTATTTATTGAAGATCGATTTTGATAAAAACTTTATATGATCAAAATGACATTAGTAACTTTGATTTTTTTTTGGAAAAGTATATGAAGAGATCATTTATTTTTCACAAACACTTTTGTCTATCTGATTTCAAATTTAGTGGTTGGAACAGTGCCATTTACTAGTCGCAAAGTTAAAAAAAATTATCAAACTTCGTGACACATACCGAAACCATCCAATTTGAAATTTGATTACTAGAAGTAATTGCGACCTCTTTGTAACAAAGATAAATAATCTCATAATATACAATCCTTTTTTCTTTTCCCCTTCTTGTGCTAACCTGGGTGTGGTTAGCACAAAGCCAAAGCTTTATGATAGTAAGTTGCATCTCATAGTCCTAGGAATGCTTTTGGCACTAGATACCCATATAATGGTCTAAAATCTATTTGTGCGTCTTATTATAAAATTTGAAAGCCAAAAAAATAATGCTATATGAGATATCTATAGATAATAGTCTAAATAATATGTTACATGGTACCCTATTTTCAAAACTTAAAAATCTATTTCTTTTAGGATATATATTTGTCAGGAAAAATACAAAAAGAGACCATTAATTTTTAGCACAAGGGGATCACAATTACTTTGGTCCTTTAGATTTCAAATCGGGTAGTTATGAGCATGTCCTTAACTGGACTCAATGTTCAAAATTTTTTTTTCGAACTTTGTGACACACCTCAAGTCATTCAATTTGATATATAATAGCTAGGAGTAATTGTGATCTCAGTGTAAGAAAAATAAATGGTTTCATAATATTAACAACTTTTTCCTGCTATATTTGAACCACCTATGCTAATCTTTTCCTCATAAGAATAATGAAAACATATTCCTTAATGTAGTAAGCTTGCAAGTTTATTGCCATAAAATAAGACGACTAAAACACATTGTTAGAAGGAAAAAAATATAATAATATCATTTCTTTTTAGTATAAGGAGATCGCAATCATTAGATATGAATCGAGTGCTTTTGGATGTATCACTAATTGGTACAAAGTCTAAAATAAAATTTTTCAGTTTTGTGACACATTTCAACCATCAGATTCGCATCCAATGGCTAAAAATAATTGTAACCTCCTTATATTCAAAATAAATAATATTATATTAGCATGTGAACCGCGGGGGTGGAATTCTTATGGAACATTTCTAGAATGTGAATTTTTTGCCCTTTTGGAGTTTGATTGTAGGAATAATGGTTGGATTGGATCATCTATGTCTATGTAGGAACAGTAGGATATAAAAAGAAACTTCATACATTTGATCTCTCACTACATGTATTTAATATCTTTCCCTGTGAATGGGTTCTCAATCATTTGATATCTTACTAACTAGGATCTCCCTTTTTTTATCTGGTTCCTGCAAATGCAACATACATGCATGATACATTTTTTAGTAATTGGGATAACCTAAGCATTTTTTTTCGGATCCATAAACAATTCTGATAGGTCCTTTTCTTTTTAGAAAGATAAAGGAGCAAAACAATGAGCCAAGATTCTTTCAACTATTTTCTATGGATTGCATGGAATCTATAATTCCTAAGAAAAAGCCTCATTAAATAAAGATTTTCTTCTTTTGACCATATTTTGATTATTAATGTGATATATAAGGACTGCCACTGCTACCAACACTACACCTTTGATCGTGAGATATCGACTGCTTTGTTAAACCATGCAAATTGCCAGAAACTAAGATAATCCAAAGTCAAGGGCCAACGATTTTTATAAAAACATTTTTCTGACATTATAAGCCAATTAAATTACAATAAACTCATATTTGCCAGTTCTAAAAAAAAAGGGGTCATTCTTGACATTTAAAAAAAGTAGGAGAGTTTTAGATTGCCCTTACCTAGAAATATTTGTTCTCCACTCACCAACTGGCACGAAACTTTTAGATGTTCAAATTTTCCCGCCATCGGCCAACGGCTAAAAAACCGTTTGAGATTCAAATTTTCCCACCAAAAGACTCTATCCTCCTCCATCCTTAAAACCTTGGCCTTACGCGATTCTTTGTCCAGGATAAAAAACCCATTCAACAAAGTTATCTAGTTGCTGAATTTCTTAGAGGAAAGTTATATAATTTGCTGGGTTTATTGCAGGAAATAATATCCAGCCATTACTTTTAGTGACTATAGATTTCGGAAAGGTCCTCACCCTTAATGCCATTCTTTGTTGCTCTGATTTCATCCCCACTAAAAACCCATTTCAAATTTCCCATCCGCTTGCTAAATTTATCGATTATAAACCGGTCACTAACTTCATTAGTTAGCGAAAATAATGTCCGTTCTCTAAATTCGGCTATTAGAGAATTTTCGGTATCTGGTTTGTCAGAGAAAGTTCTTGACATTTATGTGACTCTTCGACTTTCAGGTTTCAAACCTGACAATTTTACTTTCCCCTTCGTTCTCAAAGCATGTGGCCATCTCAACACCCTTAAAGACGGCCAAGCAGTTCATACCCACATTTTAAAAGTTGGATTTGAAACAGATGTCTACGTGGCAAACTCTTTGATTGATATGTATGCCAAATGTGAATGCTTAGAAGAAGCAGAAAACGTTTTCGATAAAATGCCTGAGAGAAACTTAACTTCCTATTATTCCCTTGTTTCTGGATATAAACGTAATGGTTTTGTGTATGAAGCCTTGGAGCTCTGTGATTTCATGAGAATTCTTGGCCTTAAGCATGATAGAGTGGGTTTAAAGATCATTTTCCCTCTTTGTGCTCTGTCTCAGTGTCTAAAGCTTGGAGAATCTATCCATGCTTATGCAATTGCTTCCAATTTATCATCAGATTTGGGAGTAAAGACTGCTATTTTAGATATGTATGCCAAGTGTGGAATGTTAGAAGCTGCTCGAGAAATATTTGATGGTATTTTGGTCAAGGATGTGGTGGTTTGGAATGCTATGATGAGTGGGTATTTGGGTACTAAGAAGCCTGAGAAAGTGCTCCAGTTGCTTAGAGAGATGTGCTTGGAGAGAGTACCGCTATCTTTAGTTACAGTTTTGTTAGTTCTTCAAGCTTGTGCTGATTTAGCAGCTCTTAACCAGGGGAAATTTACCCATGGGCACATTATCAAGCTCGGGCTTGAGTCGAATGCTAAGGTAGAGGGGCTCTTGATAGACATGTATTCAAAATGTGGAAGCTTGAATTCAGCTTCGAAAGTGTTCAATTCTATCAGCGGAGGAAATGTTAACTCATGGAGCGCAATGATATCAGGGCTTGGGATGCATGGTTACGGAAGAGCGTCTCTCATGGTTTTCTTCGGTATGATGAAGAGAAATATCGAACCAGATTGGGTCACTTTTCTCTGTATTTTGGCTTCGAGTAGCCATTGTGGGTTGGTTAAAGAAGGGGAAAAGTTTTTCGATTATATGTCCCGTGGATTTGGAATTGAGCCAAGAATGGAGCACTATACCTGCATGGTAGATCTTCTAGGACGTGCAGGACACATAGAGGAAGCTTTAAGGTTTATTCAAGGAATGCCAATAGAGGCGGATGCAAGTGTATGGGGGGCTTTCTTAGGGGGATGTAAGATTCATGGCAAGACTGATGAGGGTCAAAGTTTAGAGAGAGAGATTGTAAACTTGGGTCCAAGAACTGGAGATTGCTATGTACTTCTGTCAAGTTTCAATGCTGAAAAGGGGAATTGGGATGGTGTGATGAAGACGAGAGGGCTGATGAGAGAGAGGACAGTGAAGAAGACACCAGGATGTAGTTTAATTCAAGTGAATGGCTGAAACTGTAAGAAATATTTGGATCTCTCTCTCTCTCTCTCTCTCTCCAGCAAAAATTGAGAACATGAGATCAGGAACTTGGAAATATTTTGTAACAGATGGGAATCATTTTCTTTTCATAACAATGGATTAAAATGACAAGTACTCTAGAAAATGACCCAAAAAAAGGGCAAAAAAAAAATATACAAAGAATTGTGTGAACCGAAATCTAGCCGAGCCATCCAAAATCGATGCAGAACCAGGTCTCACCACCTTAAACACTCCAATCCTTCTCAGCCTCAAGAAGCATCCCCTTGTGGTGCTTCCATAGTAAGGAGCACAATTTACCTCTCTCGTATACTGACACCCCCCAATTCAAGCGCCCTGTTATTTGCTTGACTTGGTATTTTGCAGCACCCCAATTTCCCTACATTGCTCAACTCTACACTCTTCCAATGGGAGAAACTGGTGGATCAAGTATGAAACTCGATGGGTTCTCCTCCATCTTTCTCACCCCCTTTTCTCTCTCGTTATTTGCTACAGCTTCAATGCCCACCATCTTCTCTCTCTCAAAATTTGCCAGAGTTTCAATGGGGCTCCCTGATTCGTCTTTTAATAGCAATTTGAGTGAGTTACTGCCTTGGAGCTTATGCTGGTTGCCTGCATTTGATGATATGGTGGAGGTCTCATTGGCATGAAGAACTGCCACACAAACAGAGAAGGCCTGTAGAGCCGAGAATCGTGCATGAAAGTCAATGGCGTACACTCCCTCCTCGAGAGGTTTCATGCTTAATGCCGGAATCTTTTCTCTTCCTCCCTGAAATTAATAGACCGATAAGTCTAATTTCAAAATAGGGCATAAGCCTGATTTTGTGAGGCTGGTAAGTGCTGTCTTCATGCTTAGTAATGAACAGTGAAATTACTGAGATTTTTCATCAACTTAAAAGGTTTGCTGTGAAAATAGTTGGATGGCTATTATGGTATTTGGATGATGTCATGGGATTAGGGTTATATTAATCAATTTGGAGAATAAAGCAAAATTCTAAGATACTCAAGGCCATTCTGATTGCCCTCTTCTAAAAATAGATCATAACTCCATTGGCGAGAATACTGTAATGAAACATTGGAATATAGACACAATAGGTTATCATAGCGGGAAGGAACCTAAGCAAGCCAAAGTTGTCATAATATACTCTGAACATCCTCAATCAAGAATAATGAAAGCAAAAAACTCATTCCAATTTAATTCATGAGCCTTTTCTTTATATAAAACACCAAATAAAAACCAGTATACCTTTACTAATTGGGCCCAAGCCCATCACCGAATTTTGCAACCTCAAAAGGTTACGGGAATGCACCCAGTAACCTTTTGGCCAATGGACAGAGAGAGAATACATGCACCAATTGGTCCATGGAAAGGTTACCACCACTCAATGAAATGACGCACAGTAATGGAGAAAAAGTGGGGACCTCTTTGATGCCATGTCTTGTTCTGGTAGGTTCCCTACTCTCTGTCCATCACCATACATCACTTCATTGGATGGCGATGACTCCAAAAACTAGTTTCCATGGTCTATTGGACTATACATACCTCCCAAAAGAAAGAAAGCCAGTATCCCACTCAAGATCAAAAGTATACCTCGATAAAAAGCTCCAATGGGCTCTGATTCCCCTCAAATGAAGTCCTGGCCCCATTATTGACAGAGGAATTTTCATAAACCCTGATTGGGCAGGCCATGTCCCACCCTCCACAGTCACAGGCTCCACCTGATCTCCATCGGTCCAGCAATGGTGAAGGCCAAGAGGCATCATCGGTTGGAATTCCATGCACCCCACTTGGAATCACAACCTTCATAGATGCACCATGATTAGAGTTTTGAATAACACTAGCAATTTCATCACTAGTACAAGAACCAGACATGCTTATACACTCTTCAGCATCTTCTCTCTCATCCCCAAGCTTACCCTTCAAGCTCTCTCGCTTCTCTAGAGGAGACTCAATCACCATAGCTGCAACTTCAAGGTGAGGTTGAAAGCCTAGGGGAACGAAAGACTTCCCCAGGCCATCAGAATCCCCAAGGCCAAAACCATGCCTTGAAGGCCGTTCCCACTTTGTCTCAAACCCACAACCCTGCTCAAAAGGAAAGCCGATAACCAAGCTCTCAGGAGCCTTAACAGATTGATCCGAGCATTTTAAACTAGGGCAGGTATTTGGAATTTCTTCTTTCTCAGAGTCTCTCCTCATGTGCGTGGCGTCAGATAAAACAAATTCAGTAACCATGGAATAATCCAAGGAATCACGGATGCCTCTCTTGGAGCACAAATAACATGAAACTTTCATCTGACCCACAATTGTTGAATGCTTGCTCCTCTCTTTCCTCCCCCACCCTCCACTACTCCTGCCCTTTCCACTGCTATTGCTATGAAATGTATATAGCCAATTGAAAGCATTGCCCACTTTCCATGTCCTAGCTGCAAGAAAATCCTCAGGATCCTTGACTGAGAATTCAAAAGATGGCACCCCATGTTTATGAACCAGCTTGAGAACACCATGTAGATGAGTGGGCAAAGAACTTATATCCTTGATCTCCCCATCTACATGCCCATGTACCTTAAATGAGGCCTTCGAGAACTCCTGTAACAAAGATTTTCGAAGGGATCTCGACCTTTTGATATGTGCAGAGCTCAACAGTGAGAGGTCATTTGGTGCCACAATGGAAACAGGAAGTTTACTTAGAGATTTGGACTTCATTATCGGATCAAAAATCCTTCTGAATGAGCTCATTCGGTGCTTCGGGCTTGATGAAGAAACCTTATTCTCTGGCCCGTGGGGCAGTTCCATGGTGCTTGGCTTACTAAAAGGCGTAGGCGAACTGAATACTGCCCCATAGGACAAAGGCGACGAACTTGACTTTGACGAAGGGGACTTGGGTGAGCTGAATAACCCTTCAGTTTTCATGGGGAAATCCGACACATCTGATTTTCTCGAAGAGGACATGAGCAAGCTAACCTGTTCAGTTTTTGAGGGCAAATAAGGCATATTTGACTTTGCTGATGAGTACAGGGGTGAGCTGAATATCCCATCAGGCATATCAGATCTATTTGATTTTGCAGAGGACCTGGGTGAACTACATACTCCTTCAATTTTAGAGGGCAAACCAAACATATCTGAGTTTGCTGATGACGACATTGGTGAGCTGAATAACCCATCAAATTTCAAGGGCAAATCAGACATACTTGATTTTGCCGAAGAGCACTTAGATGACATGAACATTGCATCAGTTTTCAAGGGCAAACCAGATATACTTGATTCTGCAGAAGAGGACTTGGGTGAGATGAAAGACTCTTCATTTTCCAAGGGACACTCTTTGTTTGTTCTGGCAGCAAGTGTTTCTTCTTCATTGCATGCGAAGAGCTTTATATTGGGTTCATCTTCTGGGCTTCGCCTTCGTGCTGGCTCCAAAATTATATGTTGGCTTTGGCCCTCTATGTCTTTGGAAGGGAGAAAAATCTCCAAGAAACCATCATCACCATTAGGAAGGGAAACTAAAGTGTCGTCTTGGTGTCTGGACTGAATGGTCAATTCATGGAACTCTTTCAAGAACTTCAAGGAGGCATCCATCGTGTTAATGGGTGGAGCGTTCAAATAGGAACTTAAAGAATTCAAAGGTGGCCTCTTCTTTTGAGAAAGAGGGTCCCCTTCAACCTTACAAGAGGGAAGAGGTGATTTGATAGCCATGAAGGGCACTGGGCTCTGATTATATTTACCCCTAACAATTTCCGAATTCCTCATATTTCTCAACAATTTTGAGCTTCTATATATCGAACTACGTCTAGACTCCGGAACATCTTTGACAGAGGGACTTCGTGAGCGATTGAAGGTGAATTCTGTGAACCGATCATCATGAGGGTTGTTCGAATATTTTTGGCTTGAAAGTTTCCCCTTTTTATGTTTTTCTTGGTGTTCAAAGGAATCAATAAAAGGATAATGATCACGCTGACTCTTATTTATAGGACTCCGCAAATTTATATTGTGATGAACATCACATTCTTCTACTGCTACAGATAACCCCATGGACAGACCAAGCTGCAAGGAGCAAGAGATAATAAGTATTTGATGCTGATATTAAAGTTTATATAAAAAGAAGCAAGAGCATGCTATCAAAAATTAAAAACGATATATTTACCAATATATTTACCATATTTTGCAAAAGAAAATGCAACATGAAAAGGAAGGTTTCAGGGCAAAGCACGGAGAACATATATCATGTAATGAGACAAGCTAAAGTTCTAAATTTATCTCCTAGCTTCCAAAGAAATCAAAATGTGTAAGACATGAAGCAATCCAATATTTTGCAAATATAGACACAACAAGATGGAATGATAGCAAAAGGAACTACAATGTGCAATTTATATATTTGCAGTCACTAGGCTGATTCAATTGTGAAATTCACGCCTTTATTCCAGCCACAACGAAAGTTCATGTCAAAGGTCATTATGTATGAGTCACATAACAAGAAGTTTGGCAGCCAGCTCAAAATAAATTACAGATCCTGTTTATCTGGGTTTAGTCTTCTTGCTAGGTGGACATGACCTTATAAAAGCATCTCCATAATGATCACATACAAGCAGCAAGATACATCCCAAACCCACATTGGAAACTAAGACTATTACATCATGCTTTGATAAGTTAGTTTTCATAAATTATCAAGGGAATACATGTCTAGGTTTCAAGCCACTAATATATGAACATAAAATTCAGTGTGTTCTAGCACAATCAAAATCATCAGACAAAGGAGCAGGAATTGATACAAGGTGAACATTTGGATAAGACAACACAAGCTTTTTCAGCTCAAACCAGGATCATCCTTCATAGAGACACTCAAAGTCTTGGACTAAAAACATTTTACAGTTCCTGATGTAAACTAATTGCCCCTGCTGATCCCATTTTTATATGATATGTATTCAAGGGAGACATTTTTAATGATAAGATATTCGGAGAAAAATTTGAATTCATTCAAGGGGAAAATAATTCATATCATTCAAGATATCATAATTTAGTCATAAACGGAAGTGAATCCCGAAAAGAACAAAACTTCAAAACGATATTTTGGTAGTTAAGAAGGACTATAAGTATCAATATTAAATTATCTTGCAGAATGACCAAAGCAATACCAAGCGATTGGTCAGCAAATATCATTAAATGGTATATGCACGTCAAAAACAAGGAAAAATATATCAGTACCAATAATTCTTTTATTGGTAGCAAAGCAACCCACAAAAGAATTGGAGAAAAATCCAGCAATCAGTGTTGGAAAAAGGCATCACTACTGACTTTAATTCCTGACCTATCTTAAGTCACTAATATACATGAATTTGACATGTAGAAAGGGTCACAAGATCAGATCAATAGGGAGTTGAAAAACCCCGTCAACACAAATTATTTTTGGTCAACAAATGTAATCAAATGGCTTCAAAACAATCTTGATCTTCTGATTTTGCATTCAAATCCCAAATTTATCTCACCAAAAGAAGTTCCCAAAACCAATAACATAAATCAATTCATAAAGTACCTGTGAATTTTTAGAAGATTCAACACACAAATCCCAACTTCCCTGACCCAATATCGAGATCACCTCAAGAAATACTAGATGATTTGTCAATAAGGAGAGGACCCCAACATTCAACAAGCCAAAAGTCTTTTGGAAAAACATGTACTGATCGCCTCAAGAATATCAACTGATCTTAGTTTGGAGATCCAATAACTCATATGAAATGGCAATTGTGAACAAAGGTTCAGATAACCTCAAAAACAAGCTGGCATATTTTGGTTCTGTTCAAAACCTGAGGCCCAAAAAAAAACCTGATTTTCCGCATGCTCAAAGACTACCAGCTTGAATGTCATTTGAAGAAGACCAAATATTGTAGAAACCGCAAAGTTCAGATCACCTTGAAAAATAGCCCCTTAGAGAAGAAGACCAATTATATAACAAAAACCTGATTCTGGCAACTAATTTTCAAATCACCTCAAGAACAAGAACCTGCTAATTCTTCACTTCATAGAAGGGAAAGTACACCGAATGCTCTGTTTCTTGTGAATAAATGTATAAATTCATGTCACTCTGAATGACAGCGCAATACACTATAAACCCCAGTATTTACCAAAAAGACTACACATTGGCTAACGCTTCAAACGAAAATACAGAGTATACAAAACAAAAACCAAAATACCAGTGAATAAATGTCCAGGTCACCTCAGATCTTGATTACCCAACACATTGCTAAAAACCCAAGAACAAATGACCCCATTTTAGTAAAAATCAATCACTCAGGCCCCAACAAGTGCCAACCCCTCAACCAATCCTTACCAGATTTGAAAGCAAGGAGTGAATTGAAAGGAAAGACAAAAAGAAATGCATTTTTTTTTCCCATTATATCCAGTGATACAAGAATAATTGCTCGAATTATTTAACTTGCATTTGAAGCCCAAACAGTGGAGCCAAGATTGGAGACAAATCCAATAAAATGCCATCATTTTGCATGAAAAAAACTAGAAAAAAAATCATAAAAACAGATAGGAAAACAGTAAAAGTAGAATGGGTTCAATTAAATCAAAAGTACTCAAATAAATCAATTAAAATACAGATAAAATGGAAAAGGGAGAGGTTTTCCATGCACCTTTGGGTACTCTGTTGTGAAGTAAGAGTGAGTGGCAGAAAGTCATGGAAGACGGAGCTGGTCCTTGTGGGGATTTGCCACTGTTAATATATAACGGAAAGGGTACTCTGACAAAGAGCCCCTGATTTTCTGATGAATTTCTAAAATGGACCTAAATCATTAATCCAATAACCCCCATCATTTTTAAATGCCGGAAATATCCCTGCCAAGAATTCTTTCTTCTTTTTTTTTTGTTCCTTGTTACTTTAAAGTAGATGTTTTCTTCCTTTTAAATATAGATATGATTGAATGGGATATTTATGATATATGCCTCAACTAGAGTTTTTTAAATTTGTTTGATTTTATCTAATCTTTTGATGTTTAGATTGAGCTTCATGGGCTGAGTGTTTAAGGTGTACTACCTGCACATAATCCATTAAGGTTAGAAGCCCACCTGAACCATTAATAAGAGAGAGAAAAAAAAAGGCAGAGGTAATGAGTGTTGACCTCTTTGGCATAATGGTTGTGGTGTATTTTCTTATTTGAAACTACATTCCTCAATACTATTTGAAGGTGGGTTTTTATTTGATTGTTTAGAGCATCGGCTCTATACAAACCACACCTTTTTATATTTACATAAACTTTTTCTATTTTCACTATGTGATACCTGATATTTAAAAATCGACTATCCAACTTAGAACACTAAGTACCGAATAAAAATTAGCATCCAAATCATTTTTCTAAAAGTTTATGACTAAGTTCAAGGCTAGGTGGACAAGGTACCACAACACAACAATATTGAATCCCACTTCATCTACAATAAAAGTGGCCAAAAGCAGGGGGCAGTCCTAATCCTAGTCCTATTAAGGCCAGCCCTTGAGCTATAATTTACATCCAAAGCTCTACTAAGCTACAATTTGCAGCCAAAGCCCTACTCCCTTTTTTTTTTTTTTTAATTAATTAATTAAGGGCCATGCCTAGCCTCTCAGTCCATTGCCAACCCTAAAACACATGGTGCCTTCCCATTGTACTACTCATAAAAAATAAAAAATAAAAAGTTTAGAGAGAGAGAGAAATTGATGAGATATATAACCAGCCCTCCTCACATGTGAAGGACATAGTAGTCATTTATAAAAGAAGTAAAAGACACCTAAGTCAGGAGGTTAGAAGGAGGAGGAGGGATTCGTGGAATTTGGTGAAAAGGATGGGGCAGAGATTGGGAAGTATCTTTGGTGAGCGGTGGGTCAGCATTGAGGAAGGCAATGATGAGATTCTCTCACTTCAGTTTCAGAGAAGAGAGAGAAAGAGGGGTAGAGAGAGAAAGAGCGGTTCGGCACATGTCGGGGGGCGGTGGGCCCGCCCTTTTCCACGGCGTGGTTCAAAAGCGATAGGTTGCGGTGTTTTGGATGTGATGACGTTTGCTGGGTCCTCTTCTCATTTTTTTTGTCTTCTTTAAAATAAAGGTTAATTATTGTTAATATATCTACATTTTATTATAATTAAAAAAAGATCTCAATTTTTCAAAACCTCATCTACACTATTTCAAACAATTTTTTATTTTTTATTACTAAAATAACCTTCACGATCGTCTTTTTACTTTAAAAAACATTATAGTAATTTAGATACTATGATAAGTTGAAAGAGTATTACGGTAATTAAAATACCGTAATACCTTAAAATAGTGTTACGGTAATTTAATTATCGTAATAACATTACAGCAATTTAAATATCGTAATAAATTGAAAGAATATTTGCAAAAAAATCCATTTTCCCATTGGAGCACAATGTGTATCTACTCCCTCACACAAAAACACCTATTTAATAATGTTTTTTGTTATAAAATTTTGATAACCATATAAAAACTACTAAATTATTTTTGAAAGAATTGAATTGTGAGTTATGTGACACTTAAATCTAGCTATTTGAAAATTGGATAGTTTCTATTCAATCTTAAAGTGTTAGGTTTTTCTAATATATAGAATAATTTACTTGGAACTTTTATTTTGCTGAAATTATTCTATAAGTAATGGAGATTATATCTTAAAAATTTGATATTTGAAAAATACAGCTAGCATGGATTTTTGTCGAGGGAGTAAATAGATAGTAGACTCTCGAGACAGTAGAAAATTTTTTGTCTTCTTTTAATGAGGCTTGGGCAATATTACGGTAATTAAATTACCGTAATACTCCTTCTAGTTATTACGGTATTTAAATTACCGTAATGTTCTTTAAGGTAAACAGACAATCGTGAAGGTTATTTGGTAAAAAAAAAATCGAAAATTGTGAGACAAAAGTTTAGGTGAGGTTTTGAAAAATTAGAGGTTTTTTTTTTCTATTATAGTAAAATATAGGTATATTAGCGATAATTTTCCTAAAATAAAAGAAAATTATAAAATAGGTGTGGTTTGTATAGAGCTTAGGCCTTAAACAATCAAATTAGAACCTACCTTCAAATAGCATCAAGAAATGGGATTTCAATACTAGAAATCCTTCATTAGCGTTAAAATATATTTTTGTATTTAATTATTTTAAAGCTTCAAACATAGTGTAGATCGAGTAGATCTATGAAAACTTGAATAACTTAAAAATTGACAATCCAAAAATGTGTTACAGAATGCACTACTTCCAAAACTTGAAATCCATTTTTTTCCCAAGTTCATGTATCTTGATGTCGAGATGATCAATTTGAGGATATTTGGGCATCAAAACAACCTTTTCTAATGAAAATTTTGATGTACGCTCTAATTTGATTGTTTAGAGCCTAGGCTCTATATAAATTTTTTCCTTAAAAAAATATATCTTGAATGATTTTAAAATCAAATTAGAGCCACATCAAAAATTTCACTAGAAGAAGTTATTTTGATGATCAAATATCCACTAATTGATCATTGGATATCAAGTTGCATGGATATGAGAAAAAAAAAAAATAGTGCATCTTGTAAGTTTTGAAGTGGATATCGAGATGCATGGATATCAAAATGCATGGACATGAGCCCACCTCTAAGTTTTGAAAATAGTGCATCCTGTAATGCATTTTGGATCATCAATTTTCAAGATTTTCAAGTTTTTATAGATCTACTCAATTTATACTAATTTTGAAGCTTTAAATTTTATAATTAAATTAAAATATATCTTAAGGTTATCACAAAGATTTCCCATATTGAAACCACATTTTCAATACTATTTGAAGATGGGCTTTACTTTGATTGTTCAGATCCTCGACTCTATACAAACTGCACCCTTTTGGAATTATTGGAAATAGCCTTCAAGATAGTTTTAGAACTTTGAAGGTATCATAGTTTATTAAAAACCGTGATCATCAGGTCGGGTTGTAAGTGAAATGTAGTTTTGAAGCATCATGACACTTAAAGAACTGTGAAGGTTTATTGGACTATCACAATTATAATTTAATTGTTATACTCTTACCTAAGCATCATGGCTTTTTAAGTGTAGTGGTGCCTTAACGACCATCATGGCTTTTTAAGTGTCGTGATGCCTCTTAATGACCCTTACGACTGTTTAAGGGCAAAACATTAAAACCACCCATGAACATCATGGTAGTGAGTCTACCGTGATGTCTTCGCAATTCTAAGACTTCATAAATGCTATTTTGATTATAAAAAATTCAAAAAGTAAAAACAAAAAAAACAAAAAAAAAAGAAAGAAATAAAGAGAGCGTATGGATGAGCTTTTGAAAAGTTTGAGATTTATTTTCAATAATTCAAAAATTATTTCATATTTTTTATAATAATCCCTCTTGCAAAAATACAAGGGGTTCTTTTTCTAGAAGATGTATACTATGTGGGATTGTATATTATAAGACCATTTTTTAATCATATAAGGTCATAATGAGTCCTAAAGATTAAATGTCAAATTGGATAGCTTGAGATGTGTGGTGAAGTTCAAGAAATTTTTTGACAATACTTGAGTCTAGTTAACAACGTTACTCAGAACCATCCAATTTGAAATTTGAAAGATAAGAATGAATGTAACCCTCTTGTACTAAAAGTGAATGGTCTCTTTGTATAATTTTTTATATTATGTTCCCTCAGGAGCATAGTTTACTTCTACTCCCTCGGTTAGATGTAACTTGAAAGATTTTTTTTTATTTTTTATTATCTAAAATTTTGATAGCCACCTTTGAATCACTAGATGACTATTCCCAACCAAAAACAATTAAACTATAACTCTTCTAACACTTAGATCTCAACCCTTAAAAATTGAACGGATTCTATTCGATTTTGAGACTTTTTTTTTTTTTTTTTTCAAGTGTTTAAAAGGTGCTAAAACTAATCCATGTCTTAAAGAGGTTATATCCCAAAATTTGGCGTCCTAAAATTAATCTTAGGTGGGGTTTTACTCGAAGGAGTAAATGAATAGTATACTCCCAAAGGAATCGTATATCTTTTAGCTTTTTTTTTCAATCTAAAATTTTAGAATTCACTTTAAATTTTTAAAATAAAATATCCTTATGATTATTTAAGGATCCAAATTTAAATATGAAGCTTTGTACACTTATATCAAGCCTCCTAGGGTTTATGAAAATAAAATAAAGCTTCAACTTAAATCCTCATTTGGAAAGTCCATAATGGATCTAAAATCAATTTCTAACACTGATAATAAATTTTGAAACTAAAAAATAGAACAGATTTTGTTGATCTATGAATACTCATTTTTAGGGTAAAATGGACAGTCTAGATAACTTATGATAATATATACTATTTTTAGAACTTAAAATCCTAATTTATTTTAAAAACCATAATGTTTCGAGTCAAGATGATTGATATAAAATTTTTTCAATGCCTGAATTATAATTTTCTATGAGTTATGAAATGAGGCAAGCTCTCTTTGATAAACCAAAAAATTTTATGCTCATGAGGGAGCATATTGTCTATTTGCTCCCTTATATGTAACCCAATCTATGAGTATTTTTAGGACAGCAAGTTTTGGGAATATAACCTCCTCAACCTATCGTGCTATACTCAATAAATTTCTGAAATTTCGGATCAATAAAAATCATCTCAAGTAAGTTAGTGATTTGCCCGAGGGTAAATGTACAATATTTGCTAGTGTGGTACAATATCTTTTGGATTCTTGACTAAGCTTGGTTGCTAGGTCAAGGGCATCATGTCCCTAATAAATAATTCAGGATCATAAAAAAAAAAAATTCAAAATAGGGTTATAGGGGATATGATTGAAGGGGAGCATGTGGATTTTTTGACTAAAAATACATTGTCCCCTCTTTCTCTCCCACTGCCACTACCAACTTTCATTTTCTGTCGGTTGCTATACTCTCTCTCTCTCTTGTTTCAGTTAAGCTCCATACCAAGCTTTTGCTTCCCCTCCGGCACATAAATTTTATCTTTCCCCTTATCCAACCGTTCATTTTGAATGGAGGACTAAGATTGTTCCAATCAAAATATCACGTCTCTACACTATTTTTTTTCTATAAACTATTTTGACATCAAATTTAGACGTCCATTCCTCTATTAAACTCTCACTGACGAAAAGTATAAAAAAAGTATTTTCAATAAATAAAATAACCAAAATACTTTTGAAAGATTCAAGAGGTATTTTGGTCATTATATTTTATCAAATAATTATTTTTAATATTTTTTATAGGTGTGCCCCAATGAGAAGATGGCACGTACCAAATTTCATATTCATACAATTTGTATAAAAAAAGTTAAAAATAAAATACTTTGAGACGTCGGATCTAAAATCAAATTGTGAGTGACTCTCTTGATCAAAATTGAACAGTTGGATGGTAGAGGGAGGATAGAATTTCTGTACTGTAGAAAAAACATAGAAACCTTTCCTAAAAAATTATTACATTGCATCAAATATTTCTCTAAAAGTGCCTCTCTCTCTCACAAATGGTATCCTCTTTCAATCTCACACACGCTATTTCTCTATAACAAATAACACACATTGAGTTTCTCCCCTTTCTCTTCGCTCTCCAGGAGTAAGGGGCATAAGCATTGAGTTTCTCTCTCCTTGTCCATCTCTTTGTCAAGGAAGAAGAAGGGGCCGGTTTTTATTTAGGAAAAAATTATATAATATTGCAAATCTTTAAATGTAAAAGTACGGTGTACCTCAAAAATCCATCATAAAATATTGTTTTGATGTTGGGAAACCTTCTAATTGATCATCTCGACATCAAGATCAACGACTATAAAAAAAAAAAAATTCAAATCCTAAAAATGGTTTATCTTACAATAAATTATCTGAACCATCTATTTTCAAGATTTTTATGTGTTTATAAATCTACCTTATTTAAACCATTTTTAGAGTTTAAAATTTTATAATTAAAGGTAAAAGTAGATTTTTAAGTCATCCTTAAAAAATTTTGACACTAAAATTACATTTATGCTAAAATTTTGAGATGCGCCTTAATTTGATTGTTTAAGGTTGCAACTTTATGCGAACCACACCTTTTTATTTATGCGAAAGTATATAATGAGACCATTAACCTTTGATATAAGGTAGTCACATTAAATATTTGACCATTGGATGTGAAGTTGGGTGCCGACATTTATTTCATTACCAAGCTCCAAGTTAAAAAATAATAATTTCGAACTTTGTAACATACTCAAGCTATCAAATTTTCGAACTTTGTAAAACACACCTAAGTCTCATTGTATACCATCCTTTTATTTATACAGCCTTCTTCTCCTCTTCTTCTTGTTCTTCTTCTTCATTTTTTTTTTTTCTTTTTTTTCTAGAAATGTTAATGGTGATAATCGAGCTTACAATAATATGTCGAGGCACCTAGCCCTTAACCACCAATGCCTTTGACGCCATACCCCTACACCTTCTCTGTCTCTCCTCTCCTTGACACAACAGGGTCTTAACACACAAGCATATGTGTTTTTCTGTCTCTCTGCTTTCTTACCTAACATTTGTTAAACACATTCAAGTATCACACATAGGTGGAGACCCTGCAATTTGCAATTTATCTCTCTGCTTCATAATATACAGACATCATCAAAGCACAAATAAATCCAAGCACTCCGCATCAATGCTTCAAACATGGGAATCAGGATCAAACTCATTAGACATCCTGATTCCCCCGGATTTAGGTAATACCCTCGTCACACTGGGGTATATTGAACAAAAAAAAATTAAAAATATCAGAAAATCAAGGGACTCAAGTGATTCCAAAGTTTTTTGCCCCCAAATGCCAGCCTCCAAATCCTGTCAGACTCGGGCAATTCCCGAGCCAGACAACTAGACACAGACGCATTCTCTAACTGTACAAAGTACCATCACAACCAAATGAAAAGCCATCTGGTCCATCATGGCACCAGGTATTGTAATGGTTAGCAATCTTTACAAATACTTACGCTGCAATGATACAACATGGACCCATTATAGAAAGGTTGTGGCAATGTTAAAAAAATCGACTCGATCAAGGTACTCAGGACCTAGTCGAGGCAAGTTATTTGGGCGAATCCGAATAACTCACCCGAGTCCATCTCATTTTTTTTTAAAAAAATAAATTATATATATATACATATACGAATGCCTTTTTTTATCAACAAAACAAAGGTTAGCGTTTTGGTTAGCGCACCTTGTGTTAAATGACCTCTTTATAAGAGGTCTTGCCTGATTCTAGGCTGGTTTTTTTGAAGAACAATCATTGGACACCGAAAAAAATGATGTGTTAAAAAAAAGGGTAATGGGGATGGGATTCAAACCCTCATTGGGAGGGACTTTAGTCGGAAGCGCTACCCAATAGACCATTCCAACATGTGTTAAAAATTCACAGTAATATTATACTTAAAACTTAAAAATATTGTGTACAACTAACTCGGCTAAAACTCGCTTCACCCATGGGCCGAGGCCGAGTTACTCAGCAGAGGCAACCCAGTTTTAAAACGCTGGGTTGTTGAATCTACATGCCTGGCAGGAGAAATTAGTCGAAGTATATGGGAGGCCATGCTCAGAGAGAGAGAGAGATGGGAGGAATGGTACTGCTATTCTTAACCCACATGAATTGCAAAGACGGTATGAAAATTTGGCTAGAGGGATGGTCTTCCAAGTGAGAAGGCAATAACTGCAACATTACTCATAACAACTATACTTTGCTTCTAGCAGACGAGAAGAAGGGGGGAGGGAGGTGGCAGATTGTCGTCTTTCAATAAGATTGCAGTAATGGCATTAATACTCTTAACCAGTATTACACATGGGTGGGCTTGCCACATTGCTGCCTTGCAATAGAACTGCAGTTATGGAATTGCTATTCTAACCAGGATGTATACATAAAAATCTATACCTATTTACATATGTACAATAGATGATTCAGGATATGGTACCTGCCTCACAATCTCTTCTTCAGGATATGGTACCTGCCTCAAAATCTCGTGTCTTGGCTTGTGAGGAATTAAGAACGAGGCCTACCATTTGTTGGGTGCTCACTCAAATGCCTCTCCTTAACCTTGAGTCTGTCGAGAATCGAATCCTGAAGGGCTGCAACTTCACTGATGCTCTCATGGGCTTGGTCACATAATTTATTGAGTGCGAGCATAGGGAACGGTTCCTCAATAAGAACACCAACCTGTTGGTGCAATACCCAAAAATAAACATAATAGTAAATATCTGGCCGAACATATAAAAAGCTAAGAGATAAGTAGTTCCTAGTATTTTGTAACTCGCCCGAGTCCACTCAGACACAGGTAAGTTACTTGGATTCACCCTATGACCGAGGCCGAGTAGGGGCGAGTTCCCTTACAAGGGAGGAAAAAATATAAAAAAATAGAAAAATGTAAAAAAATAAAAAGCTTGAAATACACCACCATATTATTTACAATTAGTTTTTTGTATGATTTTTATAGTTTTTAAGGTGATTAGGGAACTTTTATATTTCTCCCTATTCCAAATTTTCAGAAATATTCAAAGATCTAAATCAAAATTTTCAATAATCCTTTTTTTTATAGAGTTTTTTCTACATCATCTTTTTTGTCTTTTCATATTTTTAACTATTTTTAAAAGAAATTTTTACTTTCCTGTTTGCCTTTTTTTGGGTAGTGAAGGACTTGGCTGTGTCCAATCGGCTCAGCCAAGGGCCGAGTCGAGTTTCTGAACACCGGTAGTTCCAATTAATTTATAGCCAACTTAGTAAGGAATAATCCATTTGATCATTGAAAATCTATGAGCACAGTGTCATCACCAACCAAATTGATGGATGAACAATGACAGAGGAAAAGTGGGACCTAACCCACTTGGATCATGTCATGTTCTGTTCCACTCAATCTCCACCACCATTCATCCATTGGTCGGATAATGATTACATTTTTTTATCATGGGGATCATAGCACACTTTCCTTAATAATACTATGAAAGGCAAAATTCATGACCATAGAGGAAAGGTCATAAATTAGTATACACTGATTAGTGACAGTTTAATCAATAGGATTCAACAAATCATGAATGATATTTTTTCGTTTTTAAGTAATGCCCGTTGAACTCAAAAGAAAAAATTACCATGACCTAATTTAAAAGCACTTCACTGTTACTCCCACCAATCTCTCTCTCTCTCTCTCTCTCTCTCTCTCTCTCTACATACATCATCCTACTACTACACTACTACTACTACTCTACTACTACTCTACTCTCTACTACTCTACTACTACTACTACTACTACTACTACTA